GAAGAACTTTGACTCCCCAAAAAGAGAAGCTGAGTTGGGTTTCACTGACCAAGCAACTCAGCAGCCACCCAACCACTTTAGTGGTCCCCCCTTCCCCAGCAATAATAAGACAAGAAAAGTGGACAACTGGAACACTCCCAGTTTCCTGTGTTGGTAATCCCAGGCAAGAAAGACACATGCATCCTGTGAAAACCCTCATCCTGGCATTTTGGGTGGAGTGGGCAAAAGCAGGCTGCTAGCCTAACACTCCAGTATCAAGTTTATCTGGATGCTGCAATCCTGAATCACCTGCTATGTTGATCTGATAGGCGTGAATTGAATGAATCAGGCTCATGGAGAAATGTCACTGAAAAATACTTGCTTCAAAATTAGGTCATGTTTCAACTTCGTGGGGACATAAAAACACATGGGGTGTCCCTGCCCCAAGGAATTTTGGTTTACGCCTTTCTTAATGACTTTGCAAGTCAGTTAGTGGAAAGTTAATTGGGGTGCCACCTTTCTAGACCTTGTGATTTTTCTCGCTCACTACATTTTAAGCATTCTTTGTGGTAAGCATTTTAGTATATTTATTTGGCAATGGCTTCTTGACTCTTCCAAAGGGTAAAGCAGATTTGCCTCATCTAGTTTTTTTTTTAATTTGCCTAATCTAGTATCACCCTGCTGGCTAGACATTATGGGAGTTGTAGTCCAACATATCAAGGTGATGCCTAATCTGGGAAGGTGTTCTGTGCAGATACTTGTGATGAGTTTTTTTTGTATCTTTGCAATGAGTTTTTTGTTCAGTGCTTTGATCACTTAAGGCAGTGGTCGCCAACCAGTGGGCCGGGGACCACTAGTGGTCTGCGAGAAAATTTTGGTGGTCCGCAGAGAAATGTCACCCCCAAGCACCCCCCAAAGCAATTAATCCAGGCTGTCTGTGAACACAACAAGGCTGCGCCGCCCACAAGGCCCATGGGAACACGAGACCTGGGTCACTTGCATTGCGAACAACACAAGGTAGTGAGGGGAGGAGGGAAAGGGCGGAGGGGGGAACTTGCCCCACTTGCCCTACCTGCTTTACCTGGCCACTGGACTGTTTCTTTCCACGTCTTTCTTTCTTCTGCTTTTGGCTGCACACAAGGAAAGCAGTAAAAGTCTTTCTTTCTCTTCCCCAAACTCTGCCAGAAATGAGTCTTTGGGACCCTGCAAGGCCTCCTGCTCCAAGAGGCTGCACTGGTGTGACAAGTCTCACAAAGACTCATTTCTAGAGGAGTTTGGGGGAGAAAAAGAAAGACTTCCGCTGCTTCTGCTGCTTTCCTTGCATGAAGCCAAAAGTCTCTCTCTCTCTCTCCTCTTGTGAACAGAGCTAGAGACTATATCCTGTGATACCAAATAAAGAATGATTGATCAGTAGGAAACAGGGTGGGGAATTTTCCTGCAGACTTTTGGGGGGATTTTCCCAGAGTCTCTGGTCTGCAGGATTTAAAGTCATTAATTTGGTGGTCCCTGAGGTCCAAAAGGTTGTCGACCCCTCATGTAAGGGGTCACAGGTCCTCCTTTTTTTCTAGAATAGGCTCCATCACACCCTTTCTTATCTCCTAGCAAACCTCTTTTTCTAGGAAGATACATTGTACACAATGCATTTAAGGAATGAGGGCTTGGAAAAGACAGTTTTGTGAGTTTATTTCTTGGTCGTGATATTCCAATTTCACTTGATGTCCTTGTGATTCTGGAGCAACAATAGAGTACTAAATAAGATATGAACAAACAACTTAAATAGTAAGTATTGCAAAGTAGTTCAAAAAGTCTTAATCTATTATCATAATCTTGCCAGTCTTTTTTGCTAGAATTGTAAGCGCTGTTGCAGAAGCTAGAAATATCAGAGCATCTACTAAAATGTTTATTGCTTGTTTGCTTAATTTATGGGATTTATAATCTGACCCAATCCCAAAAGACTCTGCAACAAGCCTCTCCCAACCCCCTGAATTAAGCCACTAAATCTGAACAAAATCCAAACCAAAAATAACCCTAGATGGCAAAGGTAAAACCCCCAATAAAAATAAAAAGAGGTGCCTGTAGTCAGCCCATACCATTCCAAAATGCTTTGAAAGAAAATAGTTTTAACTTCCCTATGGAACTGCAGCACATACAGGCATCCATTCTTTCAGTGGCTGTTTGTGGTTACAACCAGCATTGAATGAGGAGGACTTGCAATGAGTCCTTGTAGTTGTGACTATTACAGTATCTTGGGAATTGCCTAATCGTGATTTGGGTGTTTGACAACTAGCTTGCATTTGCAACATTGTAGTGTCCTGCCATCATGTGAACACTATTTGCAACCTTTCCTTCCAGCTTCCAACAAGCAGGCCAATGGGGAAACTTATTACAAACAGCAATTGTGGGATTGTGGAATGGCCAGAACTGCGTTTGTAAGTTAGTGCAGGCTCATAACCTTGTTCTTTATCACCACATCACTTAGAATCAAGTTCCTGGTCCAATTTACATTGTTAAGTGATGATTGCTTATAGTTTCTCGGTGGGAGAGTCGAGGTAGTCCTGATTTAGTGATTGCCTAATCGAGTGACCATTTGCAGCTACAATAATTATGAAAAAGTATTCTTGCCAGTTGCCTGGAGTCATTGAGAATGAGTTGGGAGTGACCATATAGATTTTCTTAAATAAATAGATTTTGTGATGAATCCTCATATTGTTTATTGATCGACTGAATGATTTAATTTGATTTGTGTGCCACACATCTCATTTAGAGGTGACACATAAAATTTTCCCAGCAAAAGAAAGCTGAAGTAAGACTATAAGCATAATTGCTATTTCACTTAATAATTGTTTCACTTAACAACCAAGTTTCCTTGTTCCCCCTTTTTCACCCCATACCTAACAAGTTATCAGCCATCAGGTAGAGTTTGGGTAATATACTCATTTTTATGGTTGCTATTTGTCCCAACTGTGAAAGTTGTATTTTGGCCCAATTATCCAGATCGTTTTGTATTTGCAATATTATTTTATCATAATTATCTTCCTTTGAAAAATGTGATGTGGTGATAAAGAACAATGTTATGAGCCTGCACTAACTTACAAACGCAGTTCTGGCGGTTCCACAATCCCACAATTGCTGTTTGTAATAAGTTTCCCCATTGGCCTGCTTGTTGGAAGCTGGAAGGAAAGGTTGCAAATAGTGTTCACATGATGGCAGCACACTACAATGTTGCAAATACAAGCTAGTTGTCAAACACCCAAATCACGATTAGGCAATTCCCAAGATACAGAAATAGCATCTTGGGAAGATATCTAGTATCTTGGGAAGATACTAAAAGGAAAAGCGGCACAAAATTTCTTAGGTTACCTGGTTCTGTTCCTATCGCTTTCTGTTCTGATACAAGTGTGACCTACAGTTTAGCACAGATCCCTTGTGCTAAATTCTAAAACACAGCCTCACCTGCAGGTAAATATAACACTGCTGGAAAAAAATCCTTTCACAGAGGCAGCCAGCCACCTCAGTTATCCCTGGCTAACATGTGCCATACACTAAATAAATTTGAAGCTGTTAGAATGATGTCAACTATGTAAAGCTCTCACCAACAGAGGCTGCAGGTATTCATTACTATCTTGAAATCACAAGAAGGTTCGTGTAGAGATATTTAAAGGCCACATGGAAGCATAAACAATCCTATGTTTATCTTCTCTGGTCTGTATGGGTAGAGTTGGAATTCACTGTAAAGCTGTTCAGAAGGTGATTTGACACAATGGACAGAATGTAACTTGCCTTCGGTGATCCTCTACCCATCTAGCCACGGATCACTAATTAATGCATATTTTTCATCAGAGAAATCCAGTGTAACATACATATAAAACAGTAGATTCACACAGTGTATATACTTGTTAAACTAGGATAATAATATGATTTTTTTGGAGCTTCAGAATTTTAGGCATTTTGTAAAGAACAAGACTTCCAAGCACTAGTTTTGAGATATCAGTTTGGGGTTTGATCAGTACTCGGGTCCAGATTTCATATAAAAACCTAGTAGTTCTTAATAGGCATTGAACTTGTAAAATATTTGCTCTGACCCTTATCTCCAATTTATAATAAATGTAATTTCCTGTTTCCTTTTGTCAGGGTTGTTTTTTTTTTTTGTATTATTGCCCTGCTATTTTATCACAGTTCCAATTGATCTTTTTCTTCTATTTGCAAGCATTGTACCATTTTGTATCATTTACCATTGTACTTCTTTCTTAGGAAATTCATTAACGAGGATAACAAATCCCGAGAACTGCTGCTGAAAGTCCTTTGATTGGTTGAAACTCTGACCAAAGATTATATGTTGGAATTATGACACAGAGGGACTTTTTCTGATTATTGGGGAAATAATTACTGTTCTTGGTGAAAGAAAAAAACCTTTCAAAGCTTATATCACTAGATTTAAATGCCAACACAGGAGTATTTTTTTTAATAAAAAAAGTAGCCTGGTAAGGCTGAGGTTGGATTTTAAGTAGCTGTAGAGATAACACTTAAAAAAAATACAGGCAACACTAACAAAAAATATGTTTCATTTTGGAGACAGCTACCTTGATTCTACCTGGGAAAAGTCTTACCAGATGTCCAATAAAAGGAGGGACATATCCTTCTTTTCCTCAACTGTGCTTTGTCCAGCACGTATAGCCTTAAAAGCAGGGGTCTCCAACCTTGGCAACTTTAAGACTTGTGGACTTCAACTCCCAGAATTCCTCAGCCAGCTTTGCTGGCTGGAGAATTCTGGAAGTTGAAATCCACAAGTCTTAAAGTTGCCAAGATTGAAGACCCCTGCTTAAATTCAAATATTGTCCTGATTTTTTTTTAGTGTCTTGGGCTTTTGCGATTTCTTTGAAGAAAATTGGGCTTCTTTCATAATGGTAATTTTGATAATTGTAATTTTCTTTATAATGGCAATTTTTTTATTGTGATCATTCAGTATTATTGCTAGCATATGTTCAGTATTATTGCTAGCATATATTGCTAGCATATGATTTATTGGAAAAATATTGCCATTGAAAAACCCATCTTTCTGATATTGGATAAAGTAATTCAGTAACCTGAAAGCCTAAGTCTTTTTTTTTTTTGCAGTGTTTCACTGTAGTGTTGGTTGTGGATGCCATGAAATTTAATTTTAAAATTAGTGTGTCTTCCTTTTCCCTCATTTAGCCTTTACAGTTGTCCTCCTTTGTCCTTTTCAGATATCTGGCAATCCTTTCTGTGATAAGCCAGACTTCATTAGGGCAGTGGGTTCATACATTTAATTTTAGCCAGGGTTTGAGTTTGCAGTAGAAATTCCAGTTTGACAGTTGCAGCAAGTTTGAAAGATATATATATTTTAAAATGGCACCAAGTCCATCAGTATACACAGATAGAGAATATCAATGTGAAAAACCAGTGGAGGACATTTAAATATTTGCTGTCTATGGGGAAGATTTCAGACAGCTCTCAGAAGAAACTAAAAAAACAAATTTATTCTTGTATTTTTGTCTCCTTGTATATAAAACCACTAATGTTGTGGGCAGCACAAGACTGAGCCTGAAATTTACAAAAAATTAAGCTGGGATGTTTTCTGCTTTTTCTGGCTTAGGGAAAGAGAAAGTGATACTCCTGAACTTCTTGTTTGGTTTCAACTTGACAAAATCTAGGGGAGGACACCAAGGGAGTTTGTGACCAATATCCCCTTCCCTAGTTTCTCTATGGCCACAGAGAGTCTGTTCAGCTATCTCCCTTCTATTTTTCTGTCCTTGAAATTTTCTGTCTACTTCTTGAAGGTATGAGTTGATCCTCTTCACATTTGGGACAAATGTGGTTGGCAGCAGATACTTAATCACCACAGAAGAGACAGAATTCTTAAGACAGAATTGGCAATTGTGCTTTCCCCTGATCCTGTTTGAAAGCCTTGGCCCAAAGGCTCCCCGCCAGCGGAAAGATAAAAATCTTGGACCCAAAACTGCAGCTATGCACGCTACATTGCCTGGCAGCTTCAGATGTCACTTGGGAGGAGTTGACCCATATTTTCTGTCTCCTTGTGTCACCGTTCACTTTTTCATCCTTCCATCCGCAGATACAGATAGGCGAGATTCTGTCAAGTGGCCCAGGTGAGTCAAAGGGAAACCTCCCCTTTCAGCATGAGGAAAAGTAGGTCTAGGTAGGTTTAGGTATAGGTAGAACAACAAAAAGGAGAGTGATTTCAGAGAAAAATCTTTTATCCTTGATCAAGTCTAAAGATCCCAAATACTGGTAGGTAGATGAATTTGTGGTGGCTGACCCTTTCTTTCAGAAGTCTTCCTTTCCTCTTGAATTTTCTTTCTCTTTCTCAGATTTCAGTGCTAAATAATGTTACCACAATAGTATGGTTCTCCAGAAGAGAAGTTTTTCTTAGAATTGTCATCTTCATAAAACATCAAATTCAATAGCAGAAGGTTGGAGAAATCTTGCCTAATATGTGTTTTTTAATATAAAATCTGAAAATAAATATGTTTTTACTAGCCAGCTGTTTTAATTTTTTTTTTCTAAAAAAATAATAATATTAAGGAGCATTGTCTACAGAGAACATGTCAGGGGATTTCCAATGATCTAATTATCTAAAATAATGTAATCCTTGTTTTTCCAGGTTTTTAAGGGAGTCCTCTTATGAATAGAAAGGTTTTTTTCTTCTGATTGAGCACTGGGAAGTGACTTTAGTTGACATGTCAGTTTTAGATTCCTGTAAGTTCCCTTCCTTTCCCCAGCTTAATACTGGAACTATGTCAAAAATCTGCATAGAAAAAAAAAGTAAACTAGAAACAATGTAGAGGGAAAGTTAACTCTATGATATCATTGTACAATAATGTAGAAAATTTTTGGAATTTTCCTATGGTAATGGAGCATATCATCCTAACGCTCCTATTCTACAGTTTCTGCTGTTTTATGCAGTTATCTTCAGTTTTCCCCATGAAGAGAGTTCCTGCACTAAATTACTGGAGGAAAGCAGGGAAGGTAGAATTTCTCTTTTCTTCCTAGATTTTTTTCTCACCGTTGCTGGGTTTATTTTTTATTTTTTTCAGATTAGTAAAGTGTTGATCCAGTTGTGACAGAAGTTGATTTGGCCAGGTTTGCTGTACAGGCTGAGAAAATCACCCATCCAGTTTTTATGCCTAAGGTGGACTCAAACTCACAGTCTCCTGGTCTCTAGGTGGTGCCTTAATGTTTTTCCTGAAATTGCAGGGTCCACTTTTGTGGCGGGATAGGCCGAGAGCAAGGGTCTTCAACTTGGCAAGTTTAAGACTTGTGGATTTCAACTCCCAGAATTCCTGAGCTAACATGACTGGAGGAGGAATTCTGGGAGTTAAAGTCCACAAGTCTTAAGGCTGTCAAGTTTGAAGACCCCTGGCCGAGAGGGTCAATCCATTGGTTGCAACAGGCACATTTCAGTCCATGAATAAAAGAAGTCCTGGGATTTCTTTGGGACTACTTGGATCATGACCAGATATTGATCCCAATCAGCCTTGGCAGCTCTCAGTGGATGAAATTCAAGCGTGAGAAATAAATGTGGTAGGGAGAAGACCAAAGCAAAATATTCCCAGGTTGTTGGTGCTGCTTATTTTGCAGAAGCCGCAGGATAGTTTAAGCCAGAGAATTGCGGAATTAGGTTTTCTGCCACTTCAGATGTCTCACTTTCCTCCCCTTCCTTCCTCCTCACCCCCTGGCCTTGTTTAGTAGTTCATCGTTTGATCACTCAGATTGGTGACCTTCTGCATGCAAAGAACTGTTGAAAATATGGGTTCAAGTAGTACCACTGGAAAACCTTAAAGACTACAATCTGTCTACTTGGGGGACAGGAGCTGACAGTGACTTGAGGTCCCATAATCAATTCAAATAGTTGCTATTCCCCATCATATTGGAGAGCATCACTGGCCTTCTGTTCCAAGGATAAGAATCATAGTTCTACAACGTTTGCTGAAAATGCAATTCCCAACAGTTCTAGTCAGAATTGCCTAAGGTGATAGATGCTAGGAAATGCAGTTCAGTATTAACAGAACCGCCACTATTCCCCACCTTTGCTTTAGATTTCAATGAGTACGTTCTGCTTCAGCAGGGTTGATAATATTAGCACTTAAATGTGTTTTTGATTATCTGCTGGAAAAGGACACAAGACATGTTAAACTCCTTTCAAAACCAGTGGTTGCCTAATATACAGTTGACTTGGAGATTCCCTTAAATTCAGAAGTACTTAAGCATATGCAACTCTGGATCAGGTCCACTGCCAACACATTGCTCTAAGTCAGATTTACACCCAGTTTACCCATTGGTCTTCAGCAATCTTTTGTGTGTTAGCAGTGAGCCTGATCCAGTGTTAGACTTTAGGTCTCCTAGGCTTCAGCCATATTTGACCTTAGTAACCAGGAATAATAGTTAATATTTAGCACATCTGGAGGTGGAAGAGCTAATACCAGTGCTTTCAGAAGAGCTAATATCAATGCTTACTTGACATTCCTCTGTTTGCAGTGAACCTTCTCCAATTATATAGGGCAGAATTAGGGACTTAAAATGTGCTGGTTTGCATTTTATGATTAGGTAGACTACATAGTTCTGCTTTTTCCCCTTCTTAAATGTAGAGATATGTTAGTTACCCTTACATATTTCTGTTGTAGTATTTCCTCTGTTGCAATTTCTTAACCAACCATAAAATGCTATTCCTTTTTTTTTTTAAGGTAGAATAAGAGGAAGAGAACACACAGTAATGGAGTATATGAGTACCGGTAGTGAAAATAAGGAAGAGTTTGACTTACTGCTGACAGATTTAAATATGTCCGAAGTAATTGACATCATGGAGAACCTTTATCCCAAAGGTGACCTGACAATTTACAAAGACAACCTCATTGCTCTGCATCCAGAAAAGAACAAAAATGAGGAGCCGACTGAATCTTTGCTCTTCAGCCGAAGAGAAGTTTCTTTGCTTTCGTGTGTCAAGTATGGGACTGTGGAAGACCTACTGGCATTTGCCAACCAGGTGTCAAACACCGCAAAGCAGTTATGTCAGCACAGGAGACAAGAATCTGGAATCATATTAAACATGGTGTGTGTTTTCTAAAACCTCCACCAGCTATTCTGTATGAATGCATTTCATATGGAGCTTGGCTCAAAGCTGTGGGTTTTGTGGCTGGATTTTGGAGTCTTCAACTATTTAGGTCTGGCTGATAAGATTTTGCTGACCAGCTATTGCTGTCCACAGACATTCCTATACTCTTATCAGGTTGTATAATATCTAAATATGGGAGTTATATATTATTTAATTCCAATGTGGTGAGGTGATGAACTAATATTGGACTAATATTGGAGGTATTGGACTAATAATCTCAACTACTGCACCTTGCTTGAGTGACCTTGGACTTCTCACAGTTTTTCTCATTTTTCTTGTGAGGCCCAAAGGTCCTGGGAAAACTCTGAAAAGGGAGGGAAAGGTCCTCCAGATACCACTTGAAGCTCCAGGAGAAAATTATCTAGTACAGGAAAATGGATCTTGGCCTGAGCTATGGTTTCTGCAAGCAGAATCTTTAGCTTGGATTTAAGTTTCTGTTTGCAACTATAATGAACAAATCTCAAGAGTGCAATACTGTTATTAGCACCTAGCTGAGCTTGGCTTCTCTCAAGTAGCTAAGCAGGATTGGACTTGATTAATACTTGCTGGGAGGTCATCAGGGAATCCCAGGTATTAGGTGAGGCTAAACAGACGAAAAGAAGCAATTGCAGAGCCTTTCATTTAGTGCCCAAAATTTGACATGGATGCGTCAATGAAATTGCCAGGCATTGAGCTTGCCGAGTGGAACCTTATTGTATAAATTGATCCACTTTTTTAAAAAGAGAATTGCAGCTATGAACATAAAACTAAAATAGATAATTTGCCCCTTTCCAGAACGTATAAAATTATCACCTTGTGACACCCTATATGAAATTACATTGAAGCTGCCTTCCAGTTATTCTGTTTGTCTTTCTGTCTGTCTGTATCTATCTATCTCTACCTCTACCTCTAACTCTCTATCTCTACTTCCACCCACCTATCTATTTTATATAGCCACCCATCTCACCAAAGGAACTTTTGTGCATTCCCCAATTTTAAATCTCAGCCGTGATGCAATTAAAAATCTTATGTAAACATAGACTGAGACAAATATCTAAAGTCTGAGCATTAAATGTGTTAATTAATATACCACCCATCTCACCAATAAGACTGTAGACAGCATACAAAATGGTAAAAAGATCAATATAAAAACAGTTTAAATTATTAAAATTATGCAGATCTTTCATGTTTCTGTGGAAAGCATATTTGTCAGCTCTTATTTATGGTTGTTGTTTTAACAATCCTTGCTCACAGTTGCTATTCGTGACCATGAGGACTAGAAAATTAGGTATTCTTGACAAAAACAAATTAAAGATGAAGTTTGCAGGTTGAAATTAAGACCAGGAAAACAGGATCTTCAAGCTTCTTGTCACTTCTCACGAAGAGAGGTTGCCCTTTGATTTCTGTCAGTTTTTTTAGATGAGGAAAAAGGGAGGCTAGCTTATAAACCACTGTTTATAATCAAATGGTGGACAACAGTTGTGAGAAACCATTGGATAGAATTAGTTGGCATTTTAGTTTTGTTTTTCATATGCTCAGGTCTTTTCACAAGGTTTTCCAGTCAGATACCATACCATATAGCAATAGCACTTGAACTTATATACTGCTTTAAAGCCCTCTTTAAGTGGTTTACAGAGTCAGCCTATTGCCCCCAACAATTTGGCTCCTCATTTTACCCACCTCAGAAAGATGGAAAGCTGAGTCAATCTTGAGCCCGGTGAGATTCAAACTGCCAAATTACAGGCAGCTGGCTCTAGCAGAAGTAGCTTGCAGTACTGCACTCTAACCACTGCGCCACTGAGACTATATCATGTCTTGCCAGCCCATTCCCCATTTTGTTTTCCAACTTCAGCTTTGCTTGTGTGCCAATTCAATCATGGCGTCAAACACAATTAAACTTCCATAATACAGATTAATCTCTGTAGAGGCAGTCGAAATCCCACTATTTTAGAGCAGATGAAGCTAGGCTTAAATATAGTAATCTACTTGCTATACTTGAACTCACCCCAAGTATTTTGATATTTTTTCCTGGATTAATTTTCCTTTGGAGAATTTTACCTTGTAAAAAAATCCTTGTACTTTCAAAGAACCATTCATTCTTTGCAGTAGAGGAACAATTAGATTTCAAATTTCTTCTGCATCACCTATTCTGAGTTTCTATTCCTCTGCCAACTTCCTGATACAACCTTTGAAGACAGAATACCTAGTATTTGCTCTCATAGCCAAACTCTCAACTCTGTAAAGCAAAAGGTTAGGAGATAGCCAGAATTACCCAATAAACTACTAAGAGGACTCCTTATGTCAGCCTGCTGATTAGGCTGTCAATCAAGCTGTTGCCAGACAATTAAGTGTTCTATATAAAGACTACTATGGTCATGGAACTTTCTCTGGTAGAAAAAGAGCTGTAGGTTAGAGCTTCTTCTTTTTTAATTTGTCAGTTGCTTACAAGATAATAGGTATAAACTATAAAAACATAGTTATGAATACATGGATACATATAAGAAAAATATAAAAACATATAAAAGAAACAATAGGATAGGGACGGTAGGCACATTGTATTGCTGTGAAGACCACTGCCTCTACCAGTGAAAATGGAGCTCAGGCAGCTACGCTGCACCCCCCGAGCTCCATTTTTACTGACAGAGGGCTGCAGGATGCCGTTGTGGCTGAAAACGTGGCCTGAGTGGGCCCGAGCTGAATTTTTCCTGACAGAGGGCTGCAAGAGGCTATCGCATACTCCCCAAGCATGTACCCCTTGAGCTCCATTTTTCTGGGAGGGGGCCATGTCCACCCCAGCCATGCCCCCCAGCCCCCCCGATGTCAAACACAACCATGATGTGGCCCTCAGTGAAATCGAGTTTGATACCCTTGCTTTACAACAAGTAGAATTAGCTCATCAGGTCATGATTCCTATCTGGTTTGCCTCTGAGGACAATATCCTGCACATCTGAATCCAGTTGTTGGCTATGCTGTCTTTCAGATGTCCATTCCCTTGGCAGCATATGTTTGCCCAGTCTCCCAGGGTCTTTCTCATATACCAGTTACAGACTCAGGCCCTAGTAATTTGCAACAGAAAGACCTTTGTGGGGGGACGTAAGATCTCAGAAAAGGCATTCCAAGGTAAAGGTAGGTGGTTGGTGATATAGATTAATTTAGTATGTATATTCCAGTAAATACACCCGTATTTCAGAATAAAAATGTTGTGAAGGAGTATTGTGTTTTGACTTTCTCCTTTATCTCAAATATCTTTAAATAGATCAAACCCAAAAATGGGCGCTATAAGATTGACTCGGATGTTCTTCTATTTCCTTGGAAACTAACATATAGAAATATTGGGACTGATTTTATTCCAAGGGGAGCTTTTGGGAAAGTATACTTGGCGCAAGATACAGAAACCAAAAAGCGGATGGCTTGTAAGATGGTAAGTTTTCTTAATTATCTTTGATAATTAAGATAATTATGATAATTGCCTGCAACATGCTAGGCCTTCTCTATAATGCTGAAATAAACAAGATCTATTTGTCCCTTTATGATGGAAACCGGCATTTTGTAAATGTGCTTCCTCCAATATGCATATGGTAGACTCAAGTTTTGAAACTCAATCTAAGTATGACATATCCAGTTCTCTTCTTCTTTGGGAGAGACTCCATATATACATCATCAACAAATGCTGAAGTGCCACATATGTGAGATGGATGGCAGTATTAATTTAATAAATAAATGTAAATATGGTTTAACAACCACCTGGAGGTGGATAACTATGCTAAAACTAATTAAGTCCGGTCAGGATAAGATAGAACATCACACTTGAACAGTCTTCATTTGCCAATCAGATCCATGGAAGAAAAATGGATTAGCACGGGAAGAATGAGTCAACCAAAGCTTAATGCCCTTTGGGTTGGGATGGGATGTTATAAGCATTCTATTATTAAAAAAGGATAGAAAGCATCTGCATATGTAGACATTTATACTGATGTTGGCATGCATATGATTTAAAAAGACACAGCAGGGTTTTATAGTAGAAATATATGGAAGGATTTTTATTTCTAATACTTTGCCTAAATTGCTGACTAAAGAAGTACTTTCTATCAATAGTCCACAATCCTGCTGTAATCCTCCTCTTCATGGTAGATACTCCATCATTCTCTGGCAAAATTCTTAAGAAGATGGGTGAAGAATTTGGTCTTTCTCCGTCCATTATTAAGAACAAAGGGAAATTCCCCCTCCCCAAATATGCTATGTGGCAGAAAACCAGCATGAGAAGAAGCCATAGCTTTTCCTTGGGATTCTAGAGAGGAAGGTTGGGGAAGAATGGTTTTCTGGGTCTGGTTTCTTGTTTTTTTTAACTTAATAATCTTAGATTTCCAGATGATTATGTGAACATATTTGCCATCATAGGTTCCCGTGGAGCAGTTCAAGCCATCAGATGTTGAAATCCAAGCCTGTTTTCGCCATGAAAATATTGCTGAACTTTATGGAGCTATCTTATGGGATGAGACAATCCATCTCTTTATGGAGGCAGGGGAAGGAGGTTCTGTCCTAGAAAAGATAGAAAGTTGTGGGCCTTTGAGAGAATTTGAAGTCATCTGGCTGGCAAAACATATTCTCAAAGGACTTGAGTTTCTTCACTCAAAGGGAGTTATTCATCAAGATATCAAACGTAAGTTAACCTAGTCCCTATATTGTACAATATCAACTACATTCAGGATAATGCCAGCTTCTTTTAAGGTTATTTGGAGATTATTTACTTACTGAAAATAACTTGAATTTCTGCACCTTGGAGACAAGATATGTCCAATTTATCTTTTATTAATACATTCATCTGCAGTGGGTACATAATAAAGTTGAGAATGTTTTAAGGACAATATGTTATGTGGAAATGGAATGAACTGAATGCTAAGTGGGCTCCATGCTCTGCTATGCTAACTGGCTGCTATGAAGCAAATCCCATTAAATTCAGGAATCTTGTTCATGTAACTAAGCAAAAGAAAGTCGGAGTGGCTGTAGCTCTTACTGGACTTAATCAGTAGTCAGAAGCTTGCAAGCCTATCATTAGTTTGGAGGTCTGCAGTTTCCACTGGTTCATAGGATTGCTATTAACGAACATTATGACTTTTTTCCCCTCCCATAATTTATGCTGCAACCCTTAGAATATAGTGATGCAATCAAGATTGAGCATTCTGAGAATGGAGGCAATTGTCTTCTGTTTTAATTAATTAAATTAATTCTGGAATCGTGCATACCGCTAAGCCAGGGGTCTGCAACCTGCGGCTCTGGAGCCACATGTGGCTCTTTCAGCTCTCTGCTGTAGCTTCTTGTCGGTTGATCCCACCATGGCCCCTCCTGTCCCCATCACTCCTCGCCTGGCCTGAGAAGGTAAGAGTGATGGCGGGGGATGGAGACTCACTCCATATTCTGGAGGAGGAGGTGACTGGCTGGGAGTGAGTGACGCTGAGTTGGCCACTCCTACCCAGTGACACCAGTTGTTAAATTATTGGCTCCCCATGTTTTCTTTTCTGTGGGAAATGGGTCCAAATGGCTCTTTGAGTATTTAAGGTTGCAGACCCCTGCACTAAGCCATGACTTGCCCAGCCATGATTTTATATTTACTTAACTAAGATATTATAGTTCATACTTGACAACAAATGAACATTACAAACGTGATTGGCTAGTTTTACACAGAATACTAGGCCAAAATCAAATAAACCACACTATGGCGTAGCATAAAGTGTACAGTGGAAGTTTTGTATTCACAAATGACAGATTACAAAGGCAGGTGCACTGAGAACCGCTCTCTCCTCTCTCTCTCATCTGGAAGAATTACTTTCTCTGTCCTTCGGACCTCCTGATTAAAGGTGTAAACATCTAGCATTCCTGGAGGGCATTGAGTTGCTCTGGATCACTAGGTTTAGGCAGATATTTGCAAAGGAATTTCACTGCATGAAAGGTCCCTCTTCAAAATTCAATAATATTTGGCTTGGGGGTGGAAGGTAGTACCTGTCATTGTAGTGTTTATTACCCCAAAGAACCTCATTTCCTGAAATTTATCCAAAAACTCCAAATGTACAATGCTTCTCTAGAGTACAGGTTTTCCTTGACTTGTTATTGTAATAGAGCCTAGAATTAGGGTTGTAAATCATTGTGGTCGTAAGCTGAGCCATCACATGATCAGAACCTTTTCTTAAAAACTTTTTTTGTAACAAATGCAACTGGTGTTCCTGGAAACTGGAAGTAAATGGCATAAAACCTGCAAAAAAGATTGCAGATTGCAGTCACATGATGACTGGATGTACAAATTGCCACAAATGCAGACTGGTTGCCATGTGATCATGGGGTGGGTGTGCAGCCATCATAACTTTGAAAATAGATAATTAAGTGACCGGTCTTAAATATGCTTAAAAAGATATTTCCAGGCCCAGGAAAACGAAAAGTTCTATGAAGAAAATTTCTTGCCTTTTCTGCCTTCCTGTCCCCTTGGAGGCTCTTCTCTCTTTAAAGCTATGCTGACATTTGAAAATCCACTGGATGATGTTTATCTTGGCATGAAAATGCATCAGGAGAGATATTCCAGTGAAGAAAAATGTGGTAGAAATCCTAACAATTGAAAGCTTTTCACACCTAGCTTTTATGGAGTACTTTAGAGCAAGAAAAAGTCAATTCATATTCCTGTAGACCTGCACAACTTGATTATCCTTCTATATTCAAAGATGAAGACTCCAGGTTTTTCTCCAGCTACATCTGACTGAGACACAAAGATGTCCTGGCAGTCTGGTTTTTTCAGCCATTTTCCTCTGATGTTGCCTTCCTGTCACGTCTAACTCATGGATGAGGCAGACTTAAATTGTTCTTAACTGTAATGGTGATAAAAGAGTATCCAACAGCAGCCATCGAATGTGCAAAACCTACATTTTGCCACCCATTATATCCAAGGCAATGTTAGGTGACGAGTAGAGGCTGGGATCAGAATGGGACTGCTTCAGACCGATAGAGACATGTTCCGTTTCCTCTTGTGTGCCCTCCTCAACATTCTGCAGGACAACATTGTACTGTGGTTCTTTTAGATCTGCACAACTCCACTTGATGGTCCAGCCAGGATTAAGGTGAACACTTAGTTTAGCATAATTCTTCTCCCCGTTCCCTTTTGAAGAGAGCATGGTAAACTCTGGAATGACAGTTGTTGCCCATATAAATGTAGCACTATCCCACTAGAGTCCGGATCCCTCTGTCCCTTTCCAAGATAGTTAAGTCTTCCCCGCTCTCAGTCCCAAGGTCTCTTGCTCTGTCCCTCGTCCTGGCCGTCAGCCCACTCTGGTCGCTCACCCAGGCAGTTCCACTCGCCTAGCTCCGTTTACCTCTATCATCCTTCAGTGCATCTGGCCCCCTCTCTTATCACTGGCTTGCCCACTCGCCTGGATCATCTTGCCTTCCCTGTCTTCTGGTGCATCTGGCTCACCCATTCATCTGGATCAGTTCTCCTCTGCTGTTGTTTGGTATGTCAGGCGCCCTCTCTGGTCAATAGCTCATCCACTTGTCTGAATCAGCTCTCCTCCTGTGTGTCTGGTGCCCCCACCGGTCACTAGTTTGGCCACTTGCCTGATGGCTTTTTCCTCTCTCTCTCCCTCTCTCTCTTTTGCCTCTATCGTCTCCTGTGTAGCCCAATCAAGCAGAGACCATGTGGTGGTGAGATGGCAGGATTGGCCAGTAAGCCCCTCTTCCCATATGTTTACTTTGCCTCTGCTTGCTTCTGTTTTTCTGCTTGCCTCTCTCTATCCATCTCCTTTTCTTTTCTATCTCTTTTTTCTTTTGTTCTGCCTTTGTGCCACACACCTTTTCCTTTTATTTCCTCTCTCCCCCTGGGCCATCCCTTCCCCGCTAATTTTTTGCAGGTCATTTGGCCAGCAATTAGCTGAATGCCACTTCCTGTAGCTTGAATCCTGCCACACCAAGCACTGTGGTCCCAGGATATTTCTAGCTGGCCAATTGCCCAGGTGCCCATGACGATCAGGGCTGCCAATTAACTGGGCCCTCCTGCTCCTTCCTTGCCCCCAGTTGGACTCAACTGAGATCCCTGTGGAAATGACGCAGAGCGGTCAGTCCCTGGGACACTCACAGCCAAGCTGCTTAGATGATTGGCACTGTGCCCTGCAGTCAGCCTTCCCCATTACACATACTCCATGCTACACAAAGAAAGGAAGAAAATTCCTAAGCAAAGGAGCTGCTTCTAATACAGTTCATTTGGGACTCTACTCTGTTTGTTTATTTATTTTACTTTGTTCAGCTTGAGTTAGGAAAGAATGGGGCATAAGAGAAAGACACAGGAAGGAACTGTCAGGCTTTCTTGTTGTAACTCCACAAACGACAAAAGTTTTGTGTTTCCTGGCTGATGACAAGCAAAGTAGGCAGGAAAAGTGAAGGAACTGACTGAATGGCTTGATTATCACACTCTACCATCCGAAACTAGGACAGTACCATGTAGCAGTGACTTATAATAGATGCATTGCTGAAGAGGCACGATAAAGTTTGGCAATGTGGGTAGAAAATTGCACAACAATAGAGTTTTCTACCAAATGAAGGGCTGAGTAAATAGCACTTGAATTCAGTCATGAGGGAAGACCTCTGGAAGTTCTATTACTCACCATCCTTCTGAACAAAGTTCTGCTCCTTGTTATCTTAGGTCTACTTCATTCCAAAAGCATATTTTAGGCCAGTCAGTTTCCCCCAATTTAGTACCTTCTAGATTTTTCAGTCCAATTGTAGTCCTAAATACATCTGAAGCAGTGGTGGGATTCAAATGGTTTTACCACCAGTTCGGTGGACATGGCTTGGTGGGTGTGCTTTGCCTAACGCCGGCGTACGGCTTTCCCCACACCAGCTGAGACCTGCAGCACCAATCAGCTGAGAGGCTAAAGAAGAGAAAAGCGCAGGGGTAAGTGGGAGGGCCGATCCTGCGCTTTTCTTTTCTTTTTCCTCTCAGTTGATTGGAGGATTTTTTTCTCCTCTCAGCTGATTGTCTGCTTTTTTACTACTGGTTCGGCCAAACCAGTCTGAACCGATAGCATCCACCACTGATCTGAAGGACTGATGGCTGGAGGAGTGTGATAGCAGTGAAATGCTGCTATTCAGCAAATGGGAATCAGAAGTCTGAGTTGCAGGCTACACAAAATATGTCATGCACTTTTGCTTATGTTATCTCATAATCTTGCAGTAAGACAGGATTTATTTTTATACAACAAGGAAGGGATTGCTAAATACTCATTCTGGTATTTGAACCAGAGAGACCCAAGTACACCACGCACAATGAGGAAGATAGGATTTTGATCACTGAATAATTTCTTCTCCTTTTTGACTAAGGAAAGCTCTGCTAAAATACATGAGAGTTAGGCATGATTTAGCTTGTCCAAAATGGTATAGGCATTGAAGCATATATACGCAGCGAAGGGCTGAGGGGAAGAATAAGTTGCAAATGTTTACAGACACGCCAACATGCAGACCTCCTAAATTTCAGTTACATGTTGTATGGAGATGTGTGATTGGTTGATCCAGCTTCCTGTTGATCCTTTGTTGTTTGAGTGTCAGAATGTTAACATTCACAGAAATGTAAGTGCAACATCTATTCAACTTTCTAGATTACAAAGGCATATGTTACCTGACATGCAGATGTCGGAGAAATCTAATAGCAATAGCACTTAGACAGCCCTCTAAGAGGTTTGCAGAGTCAGTATATTGCGCCAACAATCTGATGCAGCCTTTAGTTTCTTGCTGCCACTGGGATTTCCTGTTTAAATTGATCTCCTCAAGGTTTAGTTGAAGAGAGAATAGGAGGAAGGGAGTGATCATATTTCTCTTTCTCCCTTTTTCTCATCAACATATAAAGTTTTCCCATCATTGCTGTCACTGGGGTTACTTTAAAACTTAGATAATTTCAAAAACATCTAATGAGTCATGACTTTATCCATGTGAAATGCTATGAGTACCTAAAAAGATATTTCAGATGTCAGAATTGTAATTTGCTTTAGGACCACAATCTCCACAAAGTCTGGAATGGAGTGTGAATTGTGCCTATCAGTGACCCAGATTGCCGCTGGCGGTCCGCCAAAGTGGGTTTGTGAACAGTATCTCATACTTTGGGTATGGAAGCCCAGGAAGTTTCTTAACTTGGAATTATTGTTCTTGAAAACCCATAATTAGGTTCTCAAAGGGATGATGATATAAGGGGAAGGTGAGACCAGGGTCAAAAGCTCACCTCTGCAGAGATATCTCTTCTATCCCTTCTTATGTATCTTGAAGCTCATACTATATGGATATGCAGTTCAACATCTGAGTCAAATAATCCATCTATAGACTTGTTCAAGTTCAGGAAGTAGGGCAAAACAGCTATAGTTGGCTTTTTTCCATGCAGTTATGAATCACTGGTAGAAGAAATCCAAAGTGTATTTTTGCTTGGTGTGTGCCTGTTTAAAAATTACTTTCCTTTTAATTCCTGCCTGTAAGATATTTTCTGTGTTAAACTAAACATGGACGTTTGTTCCTTAGCCTAATCCTCATTTGTTCCTTTAATTTCTAGCAAGCAACATTGTTTTCATGTCAACCAAAGCTGTTTTAGTGGATTTTGGACTTAGCGTTCAAATGACAGAAGATGTTTATTATCCTAAAGAACTTCGAGGAACAGAGGTAATGATTGTCCATGAGAGGATAGCCCCATATGTATCATAGTAATTGCAGAAGAATGAGATGGAGCACAGGATAATAAGAATGTCTGCCATGGAGTTCCCCTTCTCTGTCCCCTCGTGCAATTTATTATTCATTAGTAAAATCACCACCATAATGTGGTTAAACAGCTTTGACATGTCATTTAGAATTTATCAAGATCGATATTGGCTAAACATTCTCATGAGATAGAATTGCACTAGAATCCTTTTTTTCTAATGGTAAGGGGAAACAGAAAACACTAATGAAGAGTTTTTTATATCTAGATAAGTTCAAACAGAAGCAAGTCTTCCTACAAATATAGTCATTATTATCAATATAAATCTTTGATATATCTTAAATGGGATGGTCTATTATGATTTCTTGCTGTTCGTTAGTTGTTCACAATGCACCACTGCATCAAAATGGGCAGTTAAAATTGGCACCAATAATTTTCCTGTTTCTTTGAGCAAAAGCTCAAGTTTTTCAATGAGATCAGTGAAAAATGCAATTATTTTTAAACCTTCTGTGCCAAACAGATAACAGATAATTAGAATTGGAAGAGACCTTATAGGCCATCTAGTCCAACCCCCTGCCCAAGCGGGAGACCCTGTACCATTTCTGACAATGGCAGTCCAATCTTGAAACTCTCAAGTGATGAAGCTCCCACAATTTCCGAGGGCAAGCTGTTCCATTGGTTGATTGTTCTCACTGTCAGAAAGTTTCTCCTTATTTCCAGGTTAAATCTCTTCTTGTTCAGTTTCCATCCATTATTCCTTGTCTGGCCTACAGGTGCTTTAGAAAATAGCTTAACTGCTTCCTCCCTGTGGCAGCCCCTCAAATATTGGAACACTGCTATCCTGTCTCCCCGGTCCTTCTCTTCACTAGACTAGTCATGCCCAATTCCTGTAACCTTTCTTCATATGCTTTAGTCTCCAGTCCCCTAATCATCCTGGTTGCTCTTCTCTGTACTTTTTCTAGAGTCTCAACATCTTTTTTATAATGTGGTGACCAAAACTGGATGTAGTACTCTAGGTGTGGTCTTACTAAGGCTTTATAGAGTGGTATTAGTACCTCCCTTGATCTTGATTGTATCTTTAATGCAACTTAGGATTGCATTAGATTTTTTGGCGGCTGCTGCACACTGCTGGCTCATATTTAGCTGGTTGTCCACTAAGACTCCAAAATCACACTCCCAGTTACTGCTATTGAGCCTGGTTTCACCCAGTCTATATGTGTACTTTTGGTTTTTCTTGCCTAAGTATAGGATTTTACTTTTCTCTATATTGAATTTCATTTTGTTAGATATGGCCCGGTGTTCTAGTCTGTCAAGAGCCATCTCGATCTTGAGCCTATCTTCTTGGGTGTTAGCTATTCCTGCCTGTCTTCTACTTGGCTTTAAAGATGATTCTAGAGTAAAGTTGTCACAAAAACTAATTTTCTTTCTTTTCTTTTCTTTTTTTTTGTAGTGAAGTTTTTTTTAATATACATCAATATAATTGGACAGTGTGGGGTCTTGGTGTCATTCATTTTGATACAAAAATAATATTGATACAAAAAAAATTACTACATCAATCCAACTGATGTAGTTCTCATGTTATTATACATATTTGTATCAGCACATAGTCCTTCATTTTTCAATTTTTCAATATTTGCTATATCCTTCTAACAGTAATGACATTATTCTTGAGCGTACCTGATACCATCCTTTTTCAAAATCTGATCTTAACCTCTAACATTCACTTTAAATATCCCCCCTATTTCTAGTTTATTAATCTATTCTAATTCTTAGTACAGCCAAACTCTATTTTTTATTTTATTTGCAGATTTACATGAGTCCAGAAGTGATTCTCTGCCGAGGCCACAGTACAAAAGCTGACATCTACAGTCTAGGAGCAACCATCATCCACATGCAAACCGGCATCCCACCATGGGTCAGTCGATATCCTCGTGCAGCATATCCCTCCTATCTCTACATAGTAAGTTTATTTAATCGTTTGTTCAATAGGTGTTCAGCTGCAAGTTGACCACCTGTTTCTGTAATCTTTATAGTAGTGCAGTGATTAGGACAGTGTTTTTCAACTTTGACAACTTTAAGATGCATTGACTTCAACTCCCAGAATTCCCTAGTTAATCCTCTTGGCTGGGGAATTCTGGGAGCTGAAGTCCATCAACTTAGCGAGGTTGAAAAACACTGGGTTAGGTAATTGGATAAAACCTCTTGGTTTTGTAAAGGTGATTATTTTTTTTTAGAAATTGAACTATGTTGATTTGCTCTTGGTGCCATTTGGGGTGTGTTTAGCAGCAGAACTGGAAGAAAAACATAATATGGTAGAACTCATTGATAATCTAGGGTATATGTAGGGAATATACTTTCTTTTCTTTTAGATTCGCATTCATTAACCCTAATCCTAAATAAAAAAATGAGGCAAAATGAGTTGGCAACTACATTGCTTGTTGTTTATTATAAGCTTATTACTTCTGAATGGGCTTAGACAGCAACATATGATACATAATAATCATCATATTATCAATATTTTAAGTATATCAAATAGTAACTGTAGTTAATGTAAATAATATACCAATTATTAAAATATAAAGCAACTGATAGGTTGATGCCGTGGGGTAGAGGTGATTCTCAACTTTTGACTGGTTGTTTAGCAACAGATCTTACCTGGAAAATCAACACAACCTAGTTGGCCAGAAAGGCCCAACAGAGACTCCATTTCCTTAGAGTCTTGCGAAAGAATAAAGTGGAACGACTGATGACCTCCTTTTACCGGTCCACAATAGAAAGCATCCTTACATATTGCATTACGATGTGGTATGCTGGCTTGACAGCTGTGGATAGAAAGACATTACAGAGGGCGGTGAGCACAGCACAAGACATTGTGGACTGTAGCCGGACTGAATAGAATACTTTTTGGCCAAGGGTAACCTGATACCACTAGATGACATTGCTAGGGCTCACTGCCTTAGAAGAGTGAGGAAAATCCTCAGGGATGACTCACTTCTTCAGCACTTCTTCACTCTCCTATCATTGGGTAGGAGATATAGAAGCAGAGCCAGTCATACCAACAGGCTGAAGAACAGTTTCTACCTGTGGGCTGTCAGACTGCTGAATGGAAAATAACTTCATGTCAACATAGTATGACAGTCTTGCAGAGCCAGCGCATTGTGCAATAAGGTCACATAGTGTACTAAGATTGGGACTGGGTTAGGGACTTCTGTCCTCACTGTGAGTTGTGTGTGTGTGTGTGTGGGTGCACGAAGGGAGGCTCAGCCAAACTCATTGTACACATGTTGTACTCTGACAATAAAGGTAATAATAAATAATAAGTAATAATAACAGTTCAAAGTTAAAATGGATCTGCCGAGGGCTACTCATCACCTATAGTCACATGCTAGTTTTTTGGGTTCTCAGCAATCAGCCTGCATGTATGGCCATTTGCAACATTCCATGGTTCTGTGATTGTGATTAATCATCTTTTTTGCTGCAAACTTGGTTTTCAGCAAAAAATACTTATTTGGAATAATGGATCTGCCTAACAACCATCCTATTCATGTTATAACTCCCACAAGAAATTGGGTGCAGTCACATGGTGATCCACTTAAAAACTGGAACAACTTACAAATGTAATTCTGGGTTCAATCAGTTGTAAGTCAAGTTCTACTTTTATCTCCCATTCTCACTTCCCTCAATCAACAAGGACACATTGGAAAAGCCATGCTTTTGTTTCTGTGTACCACATATGCACCCAGTCTTAAATGATGGGTGCCTAAATGATGCACATATGAGTAGCCGTTTTGGAAATTGTAAACGAAAAAGTGAAGTTTTGAAGACCAGGTCAGGATACTTACATTTTCTGTATTTTGCATCCCTGGCCCAAGGAGTTTGCCATCCTGAACCTGTTCAGTGGACCAGACAGAAATTCAGTCTGCAACCTTCTGCATTTAATATAGAAGTTTCACTTTACAGAAACACAACATTGCAATTTAGGTCACATAATGAACCTGGCAAGGACCAGAACAAAAACACAAACTGCTACAAAAGGAAGGTGTTGGTTCTCATTGAATTCTTAGCCCAAGGTTTGGAATCTTAAGTACCCATCCTGTTTCTTTAAACAAGGATTGTAATTAGCGCTTTTACATGCAGTATATTTGTGCTTATCATCCTCTATTCCCATAAGTATCTAAAGAATGCTTCTCTTGGTGAGATGTGTTTATATATGTGTGTATGTGTATGTTTGGGTGTGGTGGAAAGGATTGTTGCTTTTGGTTTCTTGAAATATGCAAGGAGTCAAACTTGAAGGCTTCCAAAATTCCTTCCAAATGTGTGATTACCTGCTTGTCCAACCCTGAGCAAGAGGGGAAGAGACAACTTAGCATCAAGTAGCAGAGGAAAAAGGATTAAGCAGTCCTCTCTCAGGAACACCAATGCAATCTAAATTTCTCTGTGGAACCTTCCCCAACTGGTTGATTGTGAACGCCCAAGTTTCCATTGAATTAGAGATAAGCATAGCTATTCTACTGTATGCAGTGCAGACAATTGAGATGGTGGTGCCATAATTATGTACCAAGCAGTACAGAGTTAATACTCTTATTCACGGAAAACTAAAGTCAGAGGGGAGGTTTTGGGTATTTGGGATGAGGTTTGAACTATGAAATATAGTGAAAACAAAACATTGTGGATATCAATCTATGAAGTAAGCTGATATGCTGCTGTGCTACCTTTCAGGCCTTTTGCATTCCCGTTATGTAAAACTTAGTAAATCGCCACAAGATTGTGGATATGGGAACAATTTGGAGAATGAAGATATTTTGTTGATCTGAGTTGGAGGGAGATAAAAACTGCAAGCTGAAAAATTTGCAAGCGGAAAATAAATTTAAACCAAGCAGCTCTGAGTGATTCAGCTTACTTGTCTTTACAGAACCTAAATTTGCCCAGCCAGAGCTATAAAAGTTGTCAGTACTGTTTTGAATTGGCCCAAAGCTCAACTGATTAAAATTAGGCAGTATTTTTCTGGACAATTTCTTCTTTATTGGACCAGAAATAGAACATTAAAAATATATTTAATATTCCTATATAGATTTCTTTCATACATAAAAACCCCGGCCCACTTTGAAACCAATTTAACTATTTCCAGATGCAAAACTGGCAAATTATGCCTTTGGAGGTTGTGTTTTGTTGCAGGAGTGACAATACCAGCCTAAGCCAAAATATCTGTTTCTAATTTATAACATGTCCATCTTCGTTCCCTTTTGCTCCCCAAATTAGAATTTTCAAATGCTGTGCATCTTTCTTTGCTTGCCTTGGATATTCTGAGTTAGGATTGTAGACATTAGATTGAATTTGAACCTGTTTTAGGGGCAAGTTTCAATGTGAAACTGGCTCTGCTTCCAGGATTCCTCTGGCTTTTTGTCTCAGGAGTAGAATGACAATTTTCCAACCTGTGAATCAGGGAGAGGGAATTCCTAGAGCGGTAACTTTACAAGATGCATATATTCGTGCAACAGTGGGAAATTTTTCTCTGCCTCTTCTTAAGCATCAAGTTACAACCTTCCTTTCTTAAACATTTATTTTGGTAGATCCATAAGCAAGCTCCGCCACTTGAGGACATTGCTGAGGATTGCAGTGCTAATATGAGACAGTTGTTGGAAGCAGCTCTTGAAAGGAATCCCAACCAGAGACTTTCGGCTACAGAATTGCTCAAACATGAAGCCTTGCACCCATCACGAGAGGAACAGCCCCGTTGTCAGAGTTTGGATTCAGCACTTTTTGCACGAAAAAGGTTGCTGGAAAAGAATGAGTTGGAACTCTCTGAGAATATTTCAGGTACGGTCTGCTCTTATCTTCAGCTACTTCCACATAACTTTGGCCTTTATGGCAAAGACCAACGCACTTCCCAAGCCTCTTCATAGCAATAGCAATAGCACTTGGACTTATGTACCACTTCACAGTGCTTTACAGACCCCTCTAAATGGTTTACAGAGTCAGTATATTGTCCTGAACAATCTGGGTCCTCATTTTACCCATCTTGGAAGGATGGAAGGTTGAGCCTGGTGAGATTTGAACTGCCAAATTTCAGGCAGCTGGCAATCAGCAGAAGTAGCCTGAACGGCACTCTAACCACTGTGCCATCATGGCTCATAAAAGCCTGAGAGCAAGCCAAACCAATATTTAAGGGCAAGGGAGAATCCTTCTCAGTTGAAAGGGCTTTCGATGAAGTGTGTAATTTCTGCAAAATCAGTTCTGTGACAAGTTCACCTTGGCATTTAGGAAACTCAACATGTATTTTGGAGCTTCCGAAATTGTGCAATCTAGGTGGTCCTCAGGTTACAATCATCCATTCAGCAATCATTCAAACTTGCCACAGGACTGAATGGTGGGAACTTACATTGGCTCTTCAGAATTCTGGCCATTTGCAGTGTTCCTGCAGTCACATACTTGCAGTCCTAAAATCTGGATTGCCATTTGAAGCCCAAGGACTGACTATTTATAATGTTCTGCAGAATCTGGAATATTAGATTATTTTCTTTAAAAGGCTATAAGAGGCGGGGAATCACAATAGACATACTTGAGTGCAGTTGGTTTGCTGTATCTTCATTTTCCTAGAACTTCATTATTTTTATCAATTTTATTCCCAGCCTTTTAGCAGTGCAGTTCTTTTATCCTAGCCAATATAAAGTCACTATGATTTTTATTTAATAATAGTGGACTTCATTCTTGATTTCCCTGTATTCATTTGTGGAACAATTCCTGTTCTAACAGAGAAGACAAATCTGCATCAGCTCACATAAAGTTCTATTTCCTATTTGATATAAAACTTCATTAGAAATGCACTCATCCCTAATTGGGTTACAAAATGAACTATTTCTCAAACTCGTTGTACATTTAATTGATGCCAAGGAGGGATTTAATGAAGAATACTTTGAGGCTTGCTAAAGGAACAAACATCTATTTAATTGATGCTAATATTTAGGTAAGAAGAGTAAAACTCCTCATAACTTTATCTTCCCCTTTCAAGTTATCTTAATTGGATGCCGTTATTATGTATACAGTTCCTCTACTTATTTATAGAGGAAAGAGGGGAATTAATAAACCATAGAATTACAGAGCCATGGAGTTGGAAGGAACTATAAAATTAGTCTAACCCTTTGCAATGTGAAGGAAAACCAATTAATGCATCCTAAAACAGTAATTGACCAATCTCCAGAGATGGAGAAACCCGTCTTAATTAATTGTTAATTGTTCTGAAACTACTTTTCTAGTGCATAATATACCTTTTCCTTTAATTTTTTTCTTGTTAGATTCTTCATGTCTTGGGATTACTGAGGAATTGGATTTGCTGAGGAGACAACGCTCATTATATATAAACCTTGGAGCATTAGCTGGCTACTTTAATATTGTCCGTGGACCAACAACACTAGATTATGACTAGATTTAGTGGTCTCTTATGTGGAACTGAAAGGAGTAAGTTATATATAGAGAGAGGGGGGTGGGAAGTGAATGAAGTAATATTGGAGCAAAAGAGCATATTTATGCTCCACCATTAGTTTAGTTTGTTTTGATTATCAAGGGAGATAAGCACCTTCTTTCAAAATAATATTTGGGGGCTTCATTTTTTTTTTATCATACTTCCTCAGTGCTGTTGCAATTGACCTCCTTTGTTTCAAACTGAGGGTGTGGCAAATTTAGGAATTCTGTACATAAGCTAAGAACATTTCCAAGAAAACATTACTGAATTCAGAGTCACCTAGTTTCCTAATGAATATGTATAATTTAATTCATGTATATCTACTGGTTTTGAGGGAAGGAAACCCCTATTGTGACTTGAGTTGCATCTTCTGTTTAAGTTTTTAATTATCAAGCTGCTAGACAGGGATTGTCAAAACGCCTTCTCCCCACGCTGGCTGAAAGTATTTTCCAACACAATAGTTCTTTGACATGAATGGGAACTGTGCCAGATCTTGAGATAAACTCTGTCATGTGAATGTAAATTACACAAAGACTTAGTAACTGCAATCATAGGCTGTTTGAATGTTAACATATTGTGTAAATGACTCATGAAGGTGAGCTTAATTTAATTTAAGAACTATGTGTTAAAAATAGACATGTAGTTAGGTGTTACAATTATTTTATGTTCCTATGGAAAGAATACCTCCTTTTATTTTTGAAGATTTGAGTGCATTTAAAACAAATGTTTTGAATGATAGTAAAACTAGTTCAAGAACAAAGCTTTGTACATCCTATGGGATGAATATATTAACTTTTATAAAACAGTTTAATGGTTTATTAAGCTATTTTTTTTAAAAAAGAGGCATACTATGTATGTTATAAATAGAGCGATTAACAACATCATGGTTTAGTTTTTATATTTAAATGTCTTCGTATGCAAAATGTATTTGTATCAATTTCTTGAAGTTCTAATTCCTGAATCAGTTACTGTAAAAAAATAAATTTCTGTTAAATGTATTTAACAGCGATGTGAAGTTATGAGTTTGTTTTGGATGAAAGTGATATGAAGTTCTGAGTTTGTTTTGTTCCATTTCTCTTGTTGTTAAACATGTTTATTTCAAAGCTGATGGGAGGGCAAATTTTCAGAGGTCAAGTGCTGCTACTTAATTTCTGGGCTTTCTGGAGAGTCACATGGAAGCTTCTTGTGACAAGAAGGGTGTCTGTCTGTCTGTTTATATCTTTATCTCTGTATCTATCTATCTATCTATCTATCTATCTATCTATCTATCTATCTATCTATCTATCTATCTATCTATCTATCTACCATCCAATTTACATCTCACTGCAATTATATGACTCTTGGCAATTCACAATAATAAAGCACAGTAATCAAAGAAAAATATCATAAATACATTAAAACAATACATAAAACAATAACATAGTGTCTGGTCACAAAAGTCTTAAAAAGTTCTGTTCTTCAGGAAGGCTAATATATTGGAGAGAAGTGGACTGCTACAGGAAAATAATGCTTTTGGCTTTGAACCACCTAATTTGCTCCAAATGAGAATACCCTCCTGTTTTTTCCACCACAATATTAATCTAGTTCTGTGATGGTGAACCTATGGCATGCATGCCGGAAATGACATGCAGAGCCATCTCTCCAGGCATGCCAGTGTTACTCATTGCTCTTCTGGGTTCTGGCATACATGCGTGCTGGCCAGCTGGTCTTTGCACGCATATGTGCACCAGATATGCACTGGGAAGACCAGCTGGTTGGTATGTATGCGCATGCCAGGGAGCTGCTTTTCTGGTTTCCAGCACTCCTGTGTGTGTGCGTGCTCCCGTTTTGGCACTTGGTGCCAAAAAGGTTCATCAATACTAGTCTAGTTGGTGGTCATGAGAATGGGAGCTGTGTTAGTCCAGTTCTCCCCTCTCAAGTAAGACCACAAGCCGATATTGTCTACAGCCTCCACTAGCAAGTCAAGGAGGACACACAAGTCTAGGACAACTTGCCACAGCCAACTCAGCATAACCAACTCTCTGTGGCCAACTCGCCAGACGACAATGCGTTGCAGGACAAGAATTACACTAACATCAAAGAAATGATGGAATAGAATCATTAAAAGATGCCACGGGAGGAACAAAAAGAAATATGAATGACAAAAATTAAAATAATTTTAATTACTTTAAATAAATTGAATTATTAAATTGTATAATATTAAATTGTCCCACAACAAGTTGTCCATGGTGAGTTGTCCATGGTGAGTTGTTCCATTCTATATACACCCAACCACAGAAAGAGAGAGGGAGATGGAGAGGGAGAGGGGGAGAGGGAGAAAGAAAGAGGAAGGGAGAGAGAGGGAAATGGAGAAAGAGAGGGGGGGAGTGAGAGAGATCTGTCTGAAATTAAGGGCAAGGATACAAGATCAAAGACAATCTACCAAGTCTTACCCACTTCTTTGGAAGTAACAAGTCAAAAGGAAGTCCAGATAACTTGGCAAGAGAATCCCTCTACAAGGTTCCATTCAAGTGAAGTGCAGATCAGAGTACATTTGAATAACTTTACCAGTCAAAGTGTCAGGCAAAATGTTCACAGTGGTAAAGTCAATAGAGTAACCCTTGAGGAACCGTCCCATACTGATGAGACTGGCCTGCCCCATTGATTCTGGCAGAGGGGTATACTGTAGATTCTCAGCCAAGGAGTTTTGACTGGTGGGATCCAAGAGAAGAGACTTCTCTGCTATGGTTCCCGCTCTCTGGAACATCTCACCCCCTGAGGTGAGATTGGCTCCTACCCTCCCTAATGTTTTGAAAGAGCTTTAAGACCTGGCTTTGTCAGTTGGCTTGGGATTCAGTGGGGGAGCTTCATACTGGATGTGGTTGATCGATTAAAATCTAATCCCACCTCCCCACCTCCTGTGTGTCCAGATTCCTTCTTGGCCACTTTGCCTCCCTGTTTATCTGTTAATGTCTTTACTTACTGTGTTTTTAATGTTTTTGACATTTTTCAGTGTTTTTTTTATGTTGTAAGCTACCCAGAGTCAAATATGAGATGGGCAGCAAATAAAATTTATACACAAATAAACAAATAAATCCCTACTCAAAAGAGAATTGGCCACAATAAGGTGGAAGAAATACTGAAAGAGTCTTTGCTACCCTTATCATTTTAGAGTAGGCCTGAATTTGAACATGCACATATGCTGTGTCAAATTCAGTCATTTTCAACCTGCATTGAAGGCATCGCTTCTATAGCTTCATTTTCTGAAGCTCTTCAGAAAATCAAGGAACCATCTAGAATCAGCTGGAAAAGAAACATTACTTGGGAGTAGTTTTACGAAGGACCTGAATTATGCTTCATACAAGCAATGACAAGACCCTCAACTGAATCATCTACAAGATTGTCAGAGAAATCTCAAAACGCTTGCTGAAAACTAGATGGATCCATAAAGTGTTTGGAGCAAATCATCTAAATGGATCACGTGGGGAAGAAGTGAATGACTGCAACATATGGGAGATGATGGTTACAACCCACATGCAGATATCACAACTGCTTAGGAGTGAAAAACCATCCATCTATGTGTCAAACGCAAAATGACTTGGGAGAAGCCCATGGTTATCATGAATTCTTGACTCTCTAAGACATGGCTTCAGCTACCTGAAAAATGAAATTCTATAATAAAAATAAATAAGTAATGCTTAATATTTCATTGCTGCTACAGCTGCTAATACATGTAGTCCTTCACTTGCAGCAGTTCATTTAGTGATTGTTTGAAGTTATAACATCATCAGAAAAATGACTTTTTTATTTTATTTTTTAGTTTTTAGACTTAGTTTTTCTCATTAAGATAGTTGCAGCATCCCATAGTCATGTGATCAAAATTCAGATGCTTCACAACCGACTCATGATGGTTGCAGTGTCCCAGGGTCATAAGATCCACCTTTTGCGACCTTCTGACAATCAGAATCAACGGGGAAGACAGATACACTGAGCAACCACGTGGCTAACTTAACAACTGCAGGGATTCATTTAACTGTGGCAAGAAAGGTCGTAAAATGTGACAAAACTCACTTAATAGCTGTCTCACTTAGTGACAGAAATTTTGGGCTTGTGGTCATATGTCGAGGAATACCTGTACTCTAAATTCATAGCAGCACTTGAAAATCCCATTAATTCTTTCTTGAGATAATGTACATAAATTAAAATTGGAGGTTATGTTTCATATTTTCCTATGTGAAAATGGCAAGAAATCATACTATCAGTTTTGGGGAAATATAATTAAAAGAGTTGTGGGAGGGAGATAAAAAATATAGCCTTAGAATCTTTGGCTATCCATTACATATTTATAACTCATGATACGTGAAGGTGGATAAACTGGCTTATGGATTTAGCAATTACTTAGAGTCTCTAGTGTTAGAGGCTGTAAATGGTCATACAACACGGTACAGAATCTAACTGGTTACAAGGATTACATATGAAATGAAATTATAATATGTGAAGAAGACTAACATTACAGGGAGTAGACTATTACCATATCAAAAAACAAACACCATTCATCAATAAAACAAAACAAATAATGATTTTGTAATAATCACGAGTGTAACTGAAATAAGGCCATTTACATTTGGCATGGGTTTTTCATATTACTTGGGCATTAAAAAGTTATGGCCCCAGAGATCCAGAGACGCATCATTCTAGCTAGTGAATTTTAAGATATCCTGGGATTTGCAGTCTCAGCCAGTGTTGGCAACTCTTTTTGGCACTGAGTGCCGAAACGGGAGCATGCAGGCGCGGAAGAGCACCGGAAATCAGAAGAGCAGCTCCCTGGCGCATGTATGTGGGCCAACCATCTGGTCTTCCGGTTTCTGGCGTGCATATGTGCGTGAAGACTAGCTGGCCAGTGCGCATGTGCACTGGAACACAGAAGAGCAACGGGTGGTAGCTGGAGTGCCCGGAGAGATGGTTCTGTGAGCCACTTCCTGCACGCATGCCATTCTTTCACCATCATGGGTTTAAATGCATCTGGAAAATTCCCATTCGGGATATGAGATGGAAGAAGTTTATGAAATAATAAAGCAAGAAATACTAAGTGTGGCCTTAGTTTTTATTCACGTGCTTGGTTCTAAATTAAATTCATAGACTGCCTAACTCCTAGAAACTGTGGGTGGCATGCATGATCATAAATACTGTTTATGAACAAAGGTAATTGTAAATTACATTAGTATGTTGCAAACAAGGTTGGTATTTTTCTTAAATCTGATCTACCAAGCATTGAGGCCTGTCAAATTGCTTTCTGCATTTTTTTCCATCCATAGGTTTATTATATGTTAATTAGCAAATATAGAATAATCTGAAAATATTACTTATGTGATGAAATTCATATTAGAGTAGATGTTTGTGGTCATAGTAGATATTACATTTTTCATTGATATTTTTTGAAAATGTGTTTAAACCCGTCACTCTTATCCTTAAAGAAACATGGCACTCAAGTCACAATTTAGAGTGATGTGGTGTGGTTCTGGTGTGAATTTCTACAATGTCCATATTACCCACTTCAAACTGGATTCCAGCATTTTTGTGGCAAAGGACAGCTGGAATAAGATGGAGGAGTATTATGTACCCATTATGAATATACAGTTTGGTTTTATACAAATAGAAATGTAGGAATAATTACTATCATTTAAATGGAAATACAATACTTCTCATCAAAAGGAAAGAGAGCATGGAACTTGCATGCATGGTTAAATTATATATTTTACTGCCATCAAGCCTGATGTCACCAATTTAGTGGATTTAAAAAAGAACTAGAGACCATTAGTAGATACTAGTTTCGATAGCTGTATGGTACTGCCTGAATATAAAATCAAGCTAGTGAAGAGCATCAGTAGAAGAAAATTATCATTCTCTTGAAAGCTTTCTTAATATATTCAATTATCTGTTATTTGATGCAAAGTGTCTTATTAGATGGGCCTTTGACCTGATCCAGAATACACCCAGTAAAGACCTCTGGTTCTTTG